GTCAGAATGTGAACGCTAGAACCTTAGAATTGCTAGCACTGTTGAAATTCAGAGGCGGTACTGTACTCGTAGCCAATTAGAAATTTCCAAAAATCAAGTACTTTACAAAATAATTAGGAAAATGTTAAATAGTAATATATATTCATGTAAGACTAGTTGACATTGTTTTGTTTTTCGTTACTATTCAGGAACGATTGAAATATTAATGTTCACTATAAACTATTATATATTAATGCTAGCATTTTCTAAATATTTGAAAATTTTAGTTTTTATTATTTGATAAAGTATTTATTTGAGAGTAGAAAACCATGTTAACTTATACAATAGGAATAGATTWAAAAAAAGATTCTTTGATAGTGATTTCTAGATGTAGAACAAATAARATATTCCTTGACTAAAAAGTCTTTATCACCCAATATTTTTATATAATGACACAAAAACAGTTAAGAAATTCATAATTTCATTTTTCCTGCATATTTTATAGTTAAGACTTAAGACCCATACAAATAATTACCAAGTATAATTTTTTAGACCTAAATTGGTACATAATGATTAAATGATTGCTAAACATAACATCCACATAAAATAAAACTCAAAAATTAGTCTATAAACAAAAAAAATATATATTACTATAAAATTAATAAATTAATTATTACATCAAAATAGAATTATGTAAATTATGATGAAACAGAAAATGTCTAATATTTAAAATATGAATTTATTAATAATTCTTTTTCTTTATAAATAAATATCAAATATTTAATAAAAATAATATATGTGTATAAAAATAATTATCTAATTTCAAGTTAATGTGCCCTAACAAGTTTGCAAATTGTTTAGAAAACACCAAGCTTATGCGGGTAGCACAATTTAATGCCAAACATAACTATAACAATAAATCATTATAAATTGTATAGCAAAGTTGCTAATTAATTAGAATTTGTGATTGTCATTGGTTAATATTTTAATTTCTTATGTTATCATTAAAAATATTGTGATAACTTATTAGTTGTTTATAATTTCAAGCAGATGTCGATTTTTTTGGTGTATTGTCATATGCTTTGCGTAATCTGCGTCTAAATTCTGATGGAAACTTTTCATAACACTTCTTACATGCTGGTTTTAAGTCACATTCGTAGAACTTTGTCTTTTGTGTCATTTTTTGATCACAAAAGGAACATGCAAAGTGATGGACACACCAAGCTTTGTTYAAAGCAGTAAACACTGAAAATTAGATMATTATTGATAACAAATTCAAACTTACCAAATTAATATATTGTAATACTTACCATCACCAGCAATTACTTGATTGCATACAAAGCATAAGTTACCAAATAGTTGATGATAATGAGTTTCACAATAAGCAAGACCTTTTCTTTCATAATGCCTATGTCCCAAAAACGGTTTTTCGCACTTAGCACATACAAAATGTTCTACATGCCAATGTTTTCCAAGTGCTGTAACTACACGTTCTTCAATGGGTCGCCGACATGCACCGCAAATTGGAATCCCCATYTTGTCATGGCAGCGCAAACAGTACAACTCATTCTAAAAATAAATAAATAAAATAAAATWATTTTATTTTCAACATATTTTATACAACATGTTTGTTTCTACCATTTCGTTAGCTGTATAACCAGATCTATGTTTCAATTCACGAGCATCTGAATTCAGTTCGATTCCACAAGCTGTGCAATTGAAGTGATACCCATGATAGACCTCGCCTCTGAACCGTAATGGTTTCTCATCAATTACACCACTATAACAATAAAATGTTGGGCATTTACAGAAATAGTTAACATTTTATCAAATCTTCACATACTGGCACTTGAAACATATGTGTCTACCCGACAAAACAGCTTTATCAGCAGCATTACATTCATGACACAGAGCTCTATTGCGATTGCGAACAAAACCACGATCAGCTAGTTCCTTGTTGCACACTGCGCAACAAAAGCAAGACGGATGCCAAGAAGCAGACATCGCCTTAATGACACGTCCAATAACAAATTCACCACATTTACCACAGCAGGGTGCGAACAGTACTTGAAAGTCATGTTCACAGTATTTACGACCTTCAAACTCGTAGAACAAACCATCAGGGAATGGCCGGAAACACTGAGAGCACCTGTGAACAGAAAACAAAATAACATAAAATTGATTTTCCACACTAGATCATCCCCCTGCCGTTAACACAGAAAATATAAAGAATCCAAAATCACTACTCACACGAAACACTGAGGATGCCACAATTCACCCTGTGAATTGACAATTTTATCGTGCGGGTCAAAGCCGTCTCCGCAGCGGGAGCACGACATGTTACTGAACGACATGGTTACTCTGAAACGGAGTATCAGTTATGTGTTAAGACGGGTTGGTTTCGTCCCGGGTTGTGACACTTACCCAGGCATCGAGATCTTATGTAGTCGTTATTTGTCTGCTGTAGCAAYTGTTTGTAGTGGCCTGTGGAGGAAAACGAAAAWATGTAGGTATGTACGCAAATGAATGAATGAAACTCGCAGACGAGGACTAGGATTATAATAATATTAAATGGGTGTGCGACCAATCTTGTTATTTTCTGTTCTACTCACTTCATATTCAGTAAGCTGTAGGCGTTAAAATATGCAGGTACTCCCACGCAACGAAATTAGAACGTTCCGGAAACCGACTACCTACAACGGCTATAAGTATTGCTACCACAGGAAGGAGTCACGACTCGCGGGCGTCGTAAACTCGTACCACTACCACTCCACACTTGCTCACACACATAGTTCGTAGTTTCGTACACGCACACTAATGCCGTAGAATCACGATTACACGACTGCACATTGCTATTTATGGATAACGTCGTGTCAAGGACTTCAGGGAAGTAAACTGTAAACAGAGTGCGTTTTTTTTTCATTCATCAAGTTGGCGCTTCTGTCTCATCCCTACCACGGAGGTCCCGCGGCTTAAGGATTTGACGATTTGTAAATATTGTCTAGGGGAAGTAAACTCTTAGGTTAGGGTCTTGAGGAGTTATAACCTGTACCTAAAAGTAATGTCGTTACTCGTTACTCTTTACAGCAGCCTGCTGCAGTGGCCTTGTCAGTTGTCGGATTTTTTTTATCAGTGATCCATAACGATAATATTTTATTTTAGTTTTATTTACTTATCTATGGTTTTGAATTTCGTTGTTGATTGTTCTCATAAAATTGAAACTTGTGTTAACTGCAGATATTATCAACTATCGAGATTCGAGACCGTTGAAAACTTAAAAATCAATTGGTTAATAGATCTATTCGTTCGGACATCGTTGGTATTTTGGTAATCGCTGTGCAAAACCTTACWAGTTACAATATTGTTTGTTGATTTGTTTGATCGTATACGAACAATGGAACCAATGGCTTTAGGATCACCGCAGCACGATAGTCCGCAAAAACCTACCTATCTTCCTGGATACTTGATGGGCGAACGTGGTCAATCGCCGATTGGTAATGTTTCGATTAGCACCATGTCTCCTTTACGTGCAAATCGTAGCCACACCTCAGATGTACACACTACGTTTTTGATACGGAATTTTCATCATGAACTTAGCGATAAACCGTATGCATCTTTTACAACAATTAGTCTAAAAAAAATACTTCATTACAGAGTTTTGTTTGCTTTTTCAGATCTTCCACTCCTATCTTAAATAGAGTCAATGAGGAACCAACAAAAGCTCCAACAATTGATTTATTTGATTCAATTAATACTTCCGACTACAGAGAAGAACAGTTAATATAATATATCATAWATTTAATTTCAAYGATGACCATATTTAATCAAACTTTTTATTGAATGCAGGTGTAACAATAAAGAAAACAAACAATTTTATTCTGATAAAAAAAATCTGTTTGAACAACCAAAAGCAGTTCAAGGATATTGGATTACAGTTTTTGGCTATTCAATTTCAAACAAAGATGAAATATTATCTAAATTTATACACATGGTGTCTTGTTGTGATGTGAGACAAGCTGGGCCAAATTGGGCACACATATGTTTTAGTGATTCTACAGATTATCATCGAGCTCTTTTATTTAATGGTCATGTAACCAACAATGGAGCTATGATTGGAGTTATTCCATGCAATGATAAAGTAAGACTCGGTAAAAGATATTACTTGATACGGTCTTTACATATTTTATATAAATACAATAAATGTTACTTTTCAGACAATTTTAAATGAAAATATTAGTCCTATTGATTCACATACTGGTGCAAGTACTGAAATTTTATCGAAATCTATGCGTTCACCAATTTTAGGTCAACAATTTTCCAGTCCAAATGATTCAATTTCTAAAAGAAATATTAGACCTATGGCTAAAAAACCTATGCCTATTCAAGGACAAAATGTAAGTTCCCTYATTAATTTATGAACAAACTAATTTTAGCATAATTATTTTTTTTAAATAAATTCTTTTGATTTTTAATAGAACTGTCCTTCAGCTACAACTTCAAATGGTATTGTTACAAAAACTTTGGAATATTTGTTTGGATGGTAGATAAAAAATGTAAATATGTGTATGACAAACTCACTAGTGGGTTTTAAACCATTGTTTATATTTTATTATTTTAATACATTTTTGTTCAAATCAATAACTTAACTGCTAGTAAATAAAATTATAATGGATTATTGGAATTTCAAACCGATGCAAGTCCTTTAACTATGTTATAATAAATATCCAAACCTCTAATAAATGTTTTCTCATTAAGAAATTCATTATGATCATGCAATAAAGTTTTTATCCCGGTTTTTGTTTGGTTCATTGGAAAAAATCCCAAAGCCCGGTATAACCTAACCAACCGTATATCAAATGTAACTGATAATTCAGTTCGTACAAYATTTAGCTGATGCCCCCCGTTAATCATTGTCACATCTCCAAGTTTTAAATCACTGWTTTTTAATTTAGTTTTTTCGTATTCTCTCCAATTCATAAATTTATTAATAATATATTGTAATTTTTCTCCAGCTGTATTTTCATGTAATATTGAACCATATCCAGTCTGGTCAGTACAAGTTATAATTAAATCTAAAAAAAAAATGAAGTAATTTTTATTTTAGGGTAGATTATAATTTTATTGTAAGTTGATAAAAATTACTCCAAAAAGTTCTTTCACAATAATATACATCAAAAACTTCATGCGGTGTTGCTATTCCTTCATCCAGTTCTTCTACTTGCAAAAGAGGTAGATTCACTTTCAAGATTAATTTATGTTTTTTGTAAAGGACATGGTTAAACTAGAATGGTAATATTTTAAAACACACTTTTGAGTATAAAAGTACAACCATTCCAAACAGAGGACTTGATACCAGGGACGTATTTAAGATTTT